ATTTAAAAGATAAAAAATCATGGAATTCTATATTCACTAGTTATCCACAATTGATTCCCTAATTTTACCAAAGATAAAAAAATGTAAAAAGGAAAAGAAAGGATTGGCTTACCACGTCCTTGGTTGATAGTTCTGCTCCACGAAGAATTGAAATTCACGTCGTCTTCACTTTGTTCACAAGAAAAACGACTTGAAGCATCCTACTGACGGCGCCAGATAAATTTAAGGAATGGAAAAATAACTTTAAAAATTTTTATTTTACTTAACAAACGTTTTACTCTGATAAAAAATAAGGAATGACAATTTTACAATTTAACATAATATTTATAAGTTGGCTTGAACTGACGAAGCAGGTCGAAGACCGGCCGGGGGGTCGATTCTCGACTTGTAGGAATATTTTCCTATAGGAATTTTTGACATTTTTATGTACATCGAAAATTTATGACATTTTCCTACATATAGGAAAGTGTCACAAATTCCTATAGGAAAAGGTTCCTACAAGTCGAGAATCGACCCCCTGCAAGCTTGCACTTAGAGTTCATATAACTAGCTACAGAAATATCGAGGCCGAACAAAATTAGATGGGCTACAAACAAATTTCAGCCATACAAATCCCCAGGAGTAGATGGAATATATCCCATTCCACTACAAAAGGGACAGGAAACTTTAATCCCACATATATGTGTGTGGCATATTTAAAGCAGAAGCGTGGAAAAAGGTGAAAGTCATAAACCTTCCTAAAGTAGTCAATCGATTTGGCCCTAAAGGATCTCAACAGGCTATTTTCAAACTCCCTGGAGGATAAAGAATTGGTATTAGCAACTTTCGTAGATATTGAAGGAGCTTTCAATAATACTAAGATCTATAATTAACGCATTAACAACGAAAGGGGTGCGAGTAGTCCTTCGTTAGTGAATAAAAGCCAGCATAGAAGCAGGCCCTACGAGAGGGGGTAGGGGGGACAAATTCCAGGAGGCCGGGCACAAAGGGGGGGCCCGGCAGCTTGTGAAATGTAAGACAAACTATTTTACATTTGTAGAAAACTTTTATAAAAAAATTTGTGACAGATTTTGTTGTACCTACATCTTGTTAGGTAACGTACAGCAATTTTTTATATCGCGAACTATTCCAGACAAGAGACGAACAAGTCATTATTATACGAGTTTAAAAGCTTGATAAAGTTTTACCAAATGAAATAGCGCAATAGTATTCTATGCCGTAGATGTTTTAAATTAATTAGAGTTGATATGTTGATAGATTTAGCTGGCAGGCGCTGATGCAAAGTAGCAGTACAGCAGATGGCCTAAGGACCGTCCATATTTATAAACAAAACTCAGCTGAGTCGGACTTGGGTAAGTCGTCCTTGAACGAAAATCAAAGTTCGGTTATATCGCGTGAATTTAGAGATGGGCAGTAACAAATCCGTAAATGCACATAACAGTTACATATTTGCTAATATCCATCTCTAAATTCCAGTTAAACACCAGAACCACCTAGAACTTTAGAGGCGTTGTAACCGAACTTCGATTTTAGTTCAAGGACGACTTACCCAAGTCCGACTCACGTAAGTTCTGTTTATAAATACGGGCCTCAAGCTGAGTTTTGTTTATAAATACGGTCCTAAAGTAAACGGGCAAAAAAAGAAGAAATTATTTGAATTTTGACAATGCATGAGTCACAGAATGACCACGTATGTGTTTTGTTTATGAATTGCACCCCACTTTATCAATATATTTTACTATTTTACTTCCATTACCTGTTTTGAATCCTTCCATCATCTTTTGAAGTTAAAAGCTGATATTTTATTAGGATAATGGATGGTAGGTCTTTGTGGTCTCATGTATTTGTATACTTTATTAAATTTTATGTATGTGTATTAATTTACAATTAAAAACAACTAATCCAATTAACAAAAGCACAGACGAATGATAAACATAAATTTCACGCCAAACAAATGTCAAATTGTAGGTTATTAAACATATTATTTCATGTGCGCATGCCCCGGATTTAAAATCCGGAGAATGGTCAGGGATTTTTCCAACCGTTTCGAATCAGGGGGTCGATTCTCGACTCGTAGGAATATTTTCCTATAGGAATTTTTGACATTTTTATATACATCGAAAATTTATGACAGTTTCCTACATATAGGAAAGTGTCACAAATTCCTATAGGAAAATATTCCTACGAGTCGAGAATCGACCCCCAGATGGGAATCACTTCATTTGTTTCTACGAACGCCAAACTAATAATTGGAAACTATCAGTGATTCTTCTACGAACGCAAAATATTCAATGCACATGCGCTGTTCAGTTGAAAACGGTTGTGGATCGCTCTACGAACAAACCTAATATCTCACAATGCACCAAGAAAAACAAATCCGATTCTGGTTTCCTTAATTCAGATAACTCTAGCTTTGTTCGGCTTACCAATTTTATAACGTTTCAGAACTGCATGAAATTAGTTGCGCACTAAATTACATACGAAACAGTCAATCCTAGAGTGTCTTAGGACTAGATTTGGAGAAACCCGAACACGTAAATTTAAATGCGCATGATTATAATGATTTTAAACCGTCCTCAAAAGTAAGCCGAACAAAGCTTCTGACTTACTCAAGAACTGATGAACGTCGGCAGCCGTGGTAGGAATTTTCGGTTCCTTTGTCTCAACTTCACACGTTAGAGTTTAGAATATGTATCGCTCGTATCTACAGGCAAAGTAATTTTGTAGTATTTATACTTCACCCTTAAGTTGTAATTTTTATACCTACTAAACTACCGTTGCCTTGCAGGTCTTTCAGTTTGTAATGTAAATTTTACTCTTAATAAAAAAAACTTCATCTGTTAAACAGGTTGACCTTACTTCGGATCCTGTACTACAAAGAGTATATACAGTATGTCCCCCTAAGTTGGAATCATATGGAAAACTTTTTTATTATTAATTTTAGGAAAAAGTTATTCTTCATAAAATTGTTCTGCATTATCTAAAACTAGAATACAGTCATCAAATATTTCAAGCCGTATACGAGGTTTGTCAAAAAATATGAATTTTGCTCAAGAGTAAAGGTCGTTTATTTTTGACAAAATCCAAAATTTTCAATAAGAAAAGTTGATTAGAATTGAAAATTACATTCAAATATGCAATTATACCTGAAAAATCATATTTTTTCTAGGTTTTGCATTGATCCACCTAATTTCGGTAATCCATAATTTTTTCTCTCTCGTCTCTACTATAAACATGATACGCTTTCCTTTTCTTGATGTTTGTGAAGAATTTAGCAATTTTCTCAATGAACATTTTCGATATTGTCAAATTTAAAGGTACTTTACTCTTGAGTAAAACTCATATTTTTTGACAAACCTCGTATACCACTGAAAAAATTTGATATTTGATAACTGTAGTCTAGGTTTTAGATAATGCAGAACTTTTTATGAAGAATAACTTTTTTTCCTAAAATTAATAATAAAAAAGTTTTCCATATGATTCCAACTTAGGGGAATACCAATTTTCCTATTTGTACAATTTATTCAAATATATTATTTTTATATACAATTATTTGTTTTATATATGTTATGGTTAAAGTGTTTACTTGGCTAGTTTATAGACTAGCTGGGTAGTATACAAACTATCTGTCTGGCTATTTTGATGAAAAATCAATTTCTACTACAAGTATTAGAAATTAAAAATTTAAAAAAACCGACTTCAAAAACGTGCAGATGCCATCACCACATCTTAACCAAATTTATATGGGACCACCCCTGAGGTACCCCTTACTAACAAAAAAAGAATCATATAAATCGGACAAGGTGGTAAAGCATTATCGCTAAACATACATAAAAAATGAAGAGTTTGAGGATTTTCTCATGGGCCCAATTATTAGATTTTGACTAAATGTATATGGGACCACCCCTGAAATACCCCCTTTCTAACAAAAAAAGAATCATTGAAATCGGACACCATGTTAAAGAATAATCGCTGAACATACATAAAAAAAAATATCGCGACGAATTGATAACCTCCTCCTTTTTTGAAGTCGGTTAAAAATAGCTATGAATATTGGTTGGTTTATATACTATCCAGCTAGTTTACAAATTATACACGATTTATCACCAAAAGAAAATCACACAAATTAACCAGTGTTGTTGGCTAGTTTACAGTGTTTGGATAAAGTACGAACTTGTTCATAGTACCTAACACATAATAAACCAACGTTTTAGGATGTGTAAATATTTCTTGGTCAAAAATAAAATTTATTTATAGGTACATGACATTGTGACATAAAAATACTAAGCTCACTATTTATAATCACTAATCATTAATTTTGTGACTTTTGCTTGTAAACTTCCAAAAGTAGGTTTTCAAATTGTTGCTGCTGATTCTTTATAAATAACCTAATATTTATTATTAAACAGATTTCATAAGACACCACAGTAAACAAGACACAACACTTACCATAAATATAACCTCCCTTTTTCTAATAAATTAACCAAACAGGATTGGTCAGTTTACATACTAACTGATGAGTTATTATGTATTACTATGAATATTAAGTTCATACTTTATCAAAATACTGTGGATAGTTTGTAAACTAGCCAAAAAACACCAGTTAATTTACATTCTTTTCTTGTGGTTTATACTTTAACGATAAATCTTATATAGTTTGTTAACTAGGTGGATGGTATATAAACCAACCACTATTCATAACTATTTTAGTAGAAATATAATTTCCATCAAAACAGACATTTGGATAATTTGTATACAAAACAGCCAGACATTTGGATAGTTTGTATACTGTCCAGCTAGTCTATAAACTAGTGAAGTAAAAACTTTAAAGGTAACATATTTATATTTACATTTACTTGTAACTCAAGTTTTGAAAACACTGACAGAATTACATAATTGTAAAGTCATGTGATCAAAAATTAGGAAAATTATAATTTTATGAATTATTTTATTATTCTACACTATGTACATCTCATAAATATAAATCCTAATTAAAATAACTAAATATTAAAGCCTGCCTTTCTCATACACTCCTTGTGAGCTTCGATAAGGTTCTTACAACTTTCCTCACCATTTTCTATAATACTGAAATGCAGATAAATAATGAAAATTGCAAAAAAATATATATATATATTAAATAAACTTACCAAGCATCCCTTGCCCTTTTTGTCTCAGGACATGCACAACAGGCTTTCAACTTTTTGGGTTCTGTATTCTGCAAATTATTAGTAGCCGAGGCAGCGTCTACTTTTTCATTTACGTTTCCCATTTTCCAAATTAATAAAGGTATTAATTATGTTTTTCAATGATCAAATTTAAAAATAGTATCTTTTCAAAATTACTAACCTCAATTTTCTATATTCTTCTTCTTGCCCATAGTGGTTGACTTCACGTTGACTTTGACATGCATTTGTTTTATTCTGTGGCCTCTCTCAATCTAGCTAGATATACAGCTACTTTTAATATGGTTTTTACACAGAAGAGATATGTTTCATTCATAAATCCCATTTAATTGCGGACTGTCATTGCTTTAAAATTGTTAGTGAGTGGAAGAGAGAAAGACATATCTCTTAGGGCCGGCTGGTATGCTGGTAACGTTGTAAACCACAAAGCCAGATTACCTCTTGATTTTTAATATTTATTGGTTTATAGTTTATTGGCATTTACTATATATGTGCCTGGAATGATGTTAACCAAAATTATTTAAAATTTTAAGTTAACATTAAGTAGGTAGGTATCTAAATAAAACACGTACTGAAAATATATAATTTTTAAGCTATTGCATAGCTTTTATCGCAGGCTTTGAGTGCGGCGACCGAATCAAGAAAAATCGAAAAATTGAAAAAGAAATTCCGTAACGAAAATAAACCTAACACCCCCACTCCGATCGGCAGAGCGGTGCGGCGTTGAAAGTCGTGCATCGTCTAACGTCGTTTCAGTTCAGCAGACTTCGGCACGGAATTATATATATTTTTAAGGTTTTTGGTTAATTATTTTGAATAACTCATAAACTAGAGAACAACTTTATTCTAGAATAGCAGGTTACAAAATAAGAACGTGATATCAACGTACATTAGGTTTTTATAATAATGCGTTAGAAAAATACTAAGATATAAAAGATAAATGCTGGTAAAAATACGAGTTAGTAATATTAATAGATGTTATGTTGATAATGGGGTGTTAATACACTGCGACCTAAAAGATCTATTGTGCCCCCTTCTGTCGCCACTGCACTAAGGAAATGTCTCAATGCCTATAGCGACCCTTCCAATCCTATTTTCTCAAGGAAGTGTAGGATTTGAAATGGCTTCAAGTTATTAATAGATAAGTTATGATAAAAATAATATTCAACAAAATATCAGTCTTTATCTAACAATAATGCACTTCACAGATAAATGCCGGGAATCCCTGACACATCAGTATGCCGGTTCTTATCAGGTAGAATGAAAGGGAAAGCTACCAGTGGTGTAGGTATTCCTTAACTACGGTGTTTGTGTGCGTGCGACTAGACGTATGCATGTAGACTAGCTGCAAACTGATTCTATCTCTTTTAGACACAATTTCGGAAAACTTGAATTTGAAAATGAATAATGATCCACAAGAATCCACAACAAAAAATGGGACCACCATTGACGCGGTATTTTCCAGATATTTAGAGGATATCAAGTCTCAAACTTATGTTTCCTATAGTTTCAATGATAAAAATTCCTGAATAACCTACATGTATTGTAAGATAATAAAAATATTTTAAACAATATTAACTTCTCATTTATTCAATAAAAGAAAAAAAAATTGTTTTCTTATCGGTCACCACGCTCAAAAAGTGTAACTTGAATTAATATCAAAGAAAAAAAATACTGCATAAATAAAATAAATAAATAATTATAATTGCATAAGTTGATAAAAAATGCTAGGCAATAGCTTTACCGCGACAGTCCCGAGTGCCACAAGTATTTTTTTAATTGATAATTACAAGAAAACATGGTATGGCAAAAAATATCATAAAAAAACTGTAAAATTTTTTAAAATAACGTTTTAAATATATTAAATACCTTAATTTTATTAAATAAAATTTCATTTAATTTTTGTATGTTTAGTCATTAGTGTTATTACATACTGCAATGTTTTTTTTGCAGCATGGTGGTGTTCCAAAAACACAGTGTCTAGGTACACGCTAACTTGTATGCAATTCAAAAATTTATATACACGCGAAACGTCTTGACAGAGTAGGTGAGCTGTGTGCAGGCCGTTGGTGTTTACGCCGGTCGTAGCTAGGTATGGATTGAAATTTTTTTGTGGCGGCAAAGCCGCCACCCTACTAGAAGTCGTTCTTTCGTTTTCTTGTTGTCAGGGCATTATTATTAGTATTATTTGTTCATGCATGTGAAATTTGCTTCTAGGGTTTATAAAATACTACTGTGCTAGTCACGGCGAAAATGAAAACAAACAAGACGCATTCACACAAACACCTCCCACCACAGCAATATGACGTTTCTCATGTATATAATTTTTTGATTTGTGTACACTTTAGCTTGTACCTAGCAACAGCAAAATATGAACAGATTGGTGGACCAATGTTTAACAACACTCAAGTGTTAGTCATAACTTCAGGTTTATTTGATAAAAATTAATTCAAATAAAGGGTCTTACAAGTTGTTTTACACCAAATTCACTTTAGCACATATATCTATTACAATCATGTCACAATAAAAATTAAAAAAAGTTCAAATTGGCAACTAGAGAATTACCAAAATTATTTATAGCTTATAGTCAAAATATCGTTAGCCCTTAATACTGCAATTTTTAAAGAATCTGGAAGAGGTGTTTTCAAATTTTCCACAATGATGTTTTCAAAATTTAGGTCAACTGCTTTTATCATACCGGAAACAACCGTATTTTCATGCATTTTAATATTGACATCTTTCTTGATACCTAAAAAATAGATTACAAAAAAAAAATTCTATTATAGAAAAACAATGAAAAATACCACATAATGAAGTCATATAGCTAAGAAATCTATCTCTAAGGAAGGCATTTGCTGCTTGTTCGTCTGAAGTTAACGACTCAAAATACATGCTAATTATAAATTAGCTAATAAGTAGCAAAAAGCTAAAGTTAATAGCTAATTTCAAAATTCAAAACAAAAATAATAATTTAAAATTTAAGGTTATGTTTATTTAGATTTTCATATTCTTCTTTTTATATTTTTGACCAAGGTCACAAAGAACGCAAGTCACATAAATCCACTGACATATAGTTATATAGATTGTTCATCCATTGTAAATCAGACGAAGAAAAGCTAGTTCACATACTAGTGGTAATTCTATAATCACATACTTTCATTTTCTTTTACTATACGGAGAATGGTCGCACCGCGCAGCTTTCTGAGTGCCTTTTAAAAGGAGATAGAAAACTCCGCCATTTTGAACTCTTATTACGTGTTGCCTACATCTTGGCGCAATATTTTTAATAAGTGCGTTTTAATCATCCGCTTCTGCTTCGGAATTGTCGGTTTTCTTGTTTTAATCTGACAGGTTAAAACGACTAAACCGACAATTCCGGAAGCAGAAGCGGATGATTAAAACGCACCTGATATTTTGCTTGCTGCTGTCAGTGTCAGTGAATATTATTTTTGAAGTCACAGTTTATTGCTAAAGAATCAGTTAGCTCACTCGGACCAGTCGAAAGTTCCAAAATAACATCCACTCCAGGGTTACAAATTCAGGATACGCAGAAGACTGCTGTTTTATTATAGACGGTTGTCATATATTGTATTATCCGAGTTGCGCAGTGTATAAACTGGAACATTGAGATCAAAAGTGCCGACGCAGAGTGAGCGATCTGATTCTTTAGCTATAAACTGTGGCATAGGAATCAAAATGGCCGCGCCCTATGTTGGGCGTGTCGGACCTCTCTCTTGCCTCGTATTCGCAATTCAAGCTAAGTGATACGCCCTCTGGAGGAAATTTGTAGAAGGTCCGTATAAGTAGGATATCGTTCACTGTTGCCAGAAGTAGCAAAACTTCGCTACGTCGTCGGATTTTAGCTCTTGAAGAAGTGGATAAGACCTTTTATTTAAGAATCAAAATTTGTGTATGGTAATATGTTATCATAATCTATATTTATTTAAGGATTTTTTTATAAAACCGATTTATTATATTGATTTTTTTATATTTCAGTTCATTTATTAATTTTGTTTTAAAATCAGTTCATCATTTGGCAACATTGGCGTTCCTGTTCATTGTTTACATTTTAATTTGTATCAATTACAATTCGAGTTTTTTCTTACTTTTTAGCTTTAAATATGTTTATTTCTTATAGCATGTGATAAGTGTTTATATTAAAAATGAAATATGCGAAAAAGTCCCCAGAAAATTGCAATCTATATAATGTTAATGTCAAAATTAAAACTGAATTATTCATTATTTTCCAAGTACAAGTCGTAAAATTTTATTTTTTACGATAAATGGATATCTACAAATTCACAATATTGAAATTTTACAAAACTTTGTTTAGAATCAAACTGTAATCTTATTTTTTGACGGTTTTATTGCCATTTACATGTATACAAAGTACTACATGATTCACTTCATAATATAAGAATAAGTCTAGTAAGATTTTTAAATAAGTTCATCCATAATAAACGTGTGGTACCTGAAATGTCCTTTAAACCACATAATAAAACATGTCCTGGGTTTAGTGAATACATATTTCTAGATGTTCTTGTAGCAACCAACAGGTGAATATTTCCAACAAATTAAGTCATACACATGATAAATATTATATTTATGACGAAAGCACGAGACTTAAACTTAAATTAACACTAAATGAAACTCAAAAACACTATTACAATGAGAATATTATCTAAAAACAGTTAAAAAAATCACAAATACAAAATCCGCCCAAAACAAAAACATGTAAATAAACAAACATCCTACTTATAGATGACAAATGACAGGCGCGCGAAAATTAATTTGAATCGCCAATAGTAATCGAAGTATGTGCACTTTTACGATATGCTAAATGCCACTGGTAGCTCCATATAATGCGCATGCTCGCTAAATGTGTCATCAAGATTGGCGCCGTTTATAACTTGTCATTCTCTCCTTTGTTCATTCTAGGAGAGTGTTTCACGTACAGTGGTCCCTTGGGTATCAACACAAAGAAAAAGAAAGACCTTTTGTCGACCTTGAATCTCATAGACAAAGACTGCCATTCATTTAATCAAAATATACCAACCACATCCCAGACAAGGGAGTATGATGAATT